GTTTCATGAGGTCCCATTTATTGATTGTTGATCTTAGAGCCTATGCTGTTGGTGTGCTGTTTAGGAAGTTGTCTCCTGTGCCAATGGGTTCTAAGCTCTTCTCCACTTTTTTATCTAACAGATTTAATGTGTCTGGTTTTATATTGAGATCTTTGATCCACTTGGACTTTAGTTTTGTGCAAGGTGATAAATATAGATCTATTTGCATTTTTCTACATGTGGACATCCAGTTAGACCAGCACCAGTTGTTGAAGATGCTGTCTTTTGTCCATTGTATGGTTTGGGGTTCTTTGTCAAAATCAAGTATTCACAAGTGTCTGGCTTTGTTTCTGGGTCTTCTATTCAAGTCCATTGATCCGCCAGTCTGTTTTTATCCCAGTATCATGCAGTTTTTATTACTATTGCTCTGTAGTACAGCTTGAGATCAGGGATGGACGATCTGTTGTTGTTCAGGATCATTTTGACAATTCTGAGTTTTTGTTTTTCCATAAGAAGTTGAGAATTTTTCTTTCAAGGTCTGTAAAGAATGGTGTTGGTATTTTGATGGGAATTGCACTGATTCTGTAGGTTGCTTTTGGCAGAATGGATACTTTCACTTTGTAAATCCACCGATCCATGAGCATGTAAGGTCTTTCCATCTTCTGATATCTTCTTTGATTTCTTTCTTCAGAGACTTGAAGCTTTTTTCAAATAGGCCTTTCACTAGTTTGATTAGAGTTACACAAAGGTACTTTATGTTGTTAGTGGCTACTGTGAAGGGTGTTGTTTCCCTAATTTCTTTCTTAGTTCTTTTGTCTTTCCTGTACAGAAGGGCTTCTGATTTTTTTTTTAGTTAATTTGCTGAAGGTGTTTATCAGCTGAAGGAGTTCTTTGGTTGAATTTTTGGTATCTCTCATGTATGCTACCATATCATCTGCAAATAGTGATACTTTGACTTCTTCCTTTCCAATTTGTATCCCCTTGATCTCCTTTAGTTGTCTTATTCCTCCAGCTAGGACTTCAAGTCCTATGTTGAAGAAATGCAAAGAGAGTCGGCAACTTTGCCTTGTCCTTCATTTCAGTGGGATTGATTTAAGTTTCTCTCTGTTTGGTTTGATGTTGGCTATAGGCTTGCTGTATATTGTCTTTACTATGTTTAGGTATATGCCTTATATCCCAGATCTTTCCAAGAATTTAAACATGAATGGGTGTTGGACTGTGTCAAATGCTTTTTCATCATATAAGGAGATGATCATGTGGTTTTTCTCCTTCAGTTTGTTTATATGTTGGATCACATTGATGGATTTCCGTATTTTCAACCACCCCTGCATGAAGCCTACTTGGTCATGGTGGATGATATCTTTTATGTGTTCTCAGATACAGTTTGCAAATATTTTGTTGGGTATTTTTGCATCAATGTTCATAAGAGATATAGGTCTGAAGTTCTCTTTTTTGGGGGGCCTTTGTGTGGTTTAGGTATCAAGGTGACTGTGACTTCATAGAATGAGTTTGGTAATGTTCCTTCTGTTTCTATTTTGTGGAATAGTTTGAAGAGAATTGGAGTTAGCTCTTCTTTGAAGGTCTGGTAGAATTCTTCACTGAAACCATCTGGCCCTGGGCTTTTTTTGGAAGGGAGACATTTGATGACTGCTTCTATTTCCTTAAGGGGATATAGGACTATTCAATATAATTACCTGATCTTGATTTAATTTTGCTAAATGGAATCTACCAAGGAAATTGTATATTTTCTTTAAATTTTCAAATTTTGTTGCATATAGGCTTTTCTAGTAAGGGAAGCACAAACACTTATACACCCATGATATCACTGACTTATACACACACACACACACACACACACACACTACTGTGACCACCACCAACAACAAAATAATAAGAGTCAATAATCATGGCTCATTGACATTTATCAGTATCAATGGTCTTAATTTCCCAATTTAAAAAAGAAACAGAAAACATAAACTAACAGAATGACTTGAAAACAGAATCCATCTTTCAGCTGCATCCAAGAAAGACATGTCAACCCCAAAGATAGACATTACCTCAAGATAAGCGGTTAGAAAAAGATATTATAAGCAAATAAGCCTAAGAAGAAAGCTGGTGTAGACATTTTAAAATCTAACAAAACGGCCCTAAAACCAAAGCTAATCAAAAGAGATGAGGAATGATGCTACCTATTCATCAAAGGAAAAATTCACTAATATGAAATTCCAATTCTTGACATCTATGCCCCAAACACAAGGCCATTCAAGTGTGTAAAAGAAACTCTAATACAGCTTAAATCACATAACTCCCATACACTGATAGTGGGAGACTTCAATACCCCACTCATCAACAGACATTATAAAGCAAATGGTTCTAACAATCATTTACAGAACATTTTCACCAAAACACAAAAGAATATACCTTCTTATATGTACCTCTTAGAACTTTCTCTAAAACTGACAACATACTGAGAACAAAGCAAGTATCAAAAGACACAAGAAAAGCAAAATAACTCCCTGCATCCTATCAGACCACCATGAATTAAAACTGGATATCAACACCTAAGCAACAGAAAACTTAGAAACTCACAGAAACTGAACAAAGTCTCTATTGAATGAAAAATTGGTCAACACAGAAATAAGGAAAAATTATAGACTTCCTAGAATTCAAAAATGAGACAAAATAAAAGCAGTACTAAGAGGAAAGTTTATAGTATTAAGTACCTACATAAAATAATCAGAGAGATATCATACTAACATATTAATAACATATCTGAAAGCTCTAGAACAAAAAGAAGTAAGTTAATCACAAGAAATAATCAAACTGAAGGTTGAAATTAATAAATTAGAAAGAAAGATAACAATACAAAGAATCAATGAAACAAAGAGTTGGTTCTTTGAGAAAAAAATCAACCACATAGACAAAGCCTTAGCCAAATTAACCAATAGGCAGAGAGACAGTATCTAAATTAACAAAATCATAAATGAAAAGGGCATAACAACTGTGAGGAAATCCAGAGAATTACAAGGATATACTTTAAAAACCTTTAATTCAACAAATTGCAAAATCTAAAAGAACTTAATTTTTTAAAATAAGTACTGTGTACCAAAGTTAGATCCCGATCAGATTAAAAATTTAAATAGATATTTATAACTTCTGGTGAAACAGAAGCAAACATTAAAAGTCTCCAAGTCAAAAAAAAAAAAAAGAAAGAAAGAAAGAAAAGAAAAAATAAAGAAAAAGAAAAAACCCAAGGTCCAGATGGTTTTAGCACAGATTTCTACCAGCTTTCAAAGTAGACTTAACACCAATACTCCTCAAATTGTTCCACAAAGTAGAAACAAAAGAAATATTGCCAAATTCATTTCAGGAGGCCACAGTTACCATAACCCCTGATTCCCAACCCACATAAATATTCTCCTTATGAGAGAATCTATATCCTGAACTTAGAAATACACTGTGGAGCAACAATGCAGCCACATTTGGGATGAAGAAAAGTGAGGATAAATCATTATAGCCAAAAGCTTTGCCTTCATTCTCACATTTAACCCTCCCAATAGCACTGAGGAACATTTTGTAGAACAGGTAACCACTTAGGTACATGGAGGACATCTGGCCCTGCAGACCAGGGCCATTCAGCTACAGAATTCTGCATCATTAATTCATTTCTTCTAAAATACTTTTTTCTTTCTGAGAACAAAACTACCAACATATGCCAGGGACCACAGAAGTGACGATGAATAAGAATTTCTAGAACCCCTGCACAGATGTAGCCGATGGCAGCTCAGTATCCAAGTGGGTTCCCTAAAAAGGGGAACTGGAACTGTCTCTGACATGAACTCAGTGGCTAGCTCTTTGACCTCCCCCCCCCACCTCCCACCCCCCGCCGAGGAGCAGACTTGCTTAGGCCACAGAGGAGGACATTGCAGCCAATCCTGATGAGACCTGATAAGCTAGCATCAGATGGAAGAGGAGGAGGACTGCCCCTATCAGTGGACTGAAAGAGGGGCAGGGAGGAGATGATGGAGAGAGGGTGGGGTTGGGAAGGAATGAAGAAGGGAGCTACAGCTGGGATACAAAGTAAATAAACTGTAATTAATATAAAAAATAAAAATTTAAAAATTTTTTAAAAGATCTAAAAAAAAGAATTTCTGGAAAACACATTAGAAGAGGAAAGACACTTAATGAATGATGACTAAACACACGTTTAATTTCTCAAGAACACACTGCTTCAGAGAAAATGAAGCCTGAGCTAGAGAGCAAGGAATGGAGAGGACGGTTTCTCTAGTATGAGAAACGAAAGGAACCCCCTGTATATATGGCTGTGAAGAGATACATGAAGAAATTCTCAAACCCCAAGAACACCCTGCCAGATAAAACTATGGAAACAAAAGCAATCTATAAACAGACATAGAGCTCACAGAATTTTTTTTTTTACTTTTTTTTTATTAATTACACTTTATTCATTTTGTATCCCCCCATAAGCCCCTCCCTCCTCCCCTCCCAATTCCACCCTCCCTCCCCTTTCTGCATGCATGCCACTCCCCAAGTCCACTGATAGGGAAGGTTCTCCTCTCCTTTCTGATCTTAGTCTATCAGTTCTCATCAAAAGTGGCTGCATTGTCCTCTACTGTGGCCTGGTAAGGCTGCTCCCCCCTCAGGGGGAGGTGAACAACGAGCAGGCCAATCAGATTATGTCAGAGGCAGTCCCTCTTCCCATTACTATGTAACCCACTTGGACACTGAACTGCCATGGGCTACATCTGTGCAGGGGTTCTAGGTTATCTCCACAAATAGAATTTTAATTTGACAATTAAAAATATGTAAGTATTTTGAAGAATTCAATTAACTTTTCTACCACCAAGAATCCTTATTGCACATGCTAAGACAAGAAACAAAGTAGAGGTACTTATATTCATGAAGAGATGCCTTCTCTCATTTGTTCTCTGTGTTTGTTTCTTCAGACTTGGAGATGTGACCATGTTCTGGCATTGTGAACTATCTATTTGGACCCTAGGTACTCTGTGTGCTGAGGAGGAGCTGGGATTATATTCTGTTAACTTATAAAAGATATTAGTAAAAGGTAATGTTTGTTGAGAATTTGTTGTTGTTTTGTTATTCCAGGTACTAGAACAAAGCTTTCTGTGCACTAATAAATTGAACTCTCACAGAACTTCTATACTATGTATATAAGGGGTAGTTA